TTCATAATCTGAGTTTCTTACTTGTTGATCTTAAGATGATATTTCGGAACTGATCTTAGTGGTAGAGCAGTGACATTTGACACTTTAGCCAAGAAGTCTGAGGTCCGAACCCCGCTTCAGCTTTGGTTTGACCAACTCAGTAGTATCATTATCCCTCCAATTTAGTGTCATTCATACCCAAGTACTTAGAGGATAAGTCCACTTATTGTTTTTCTCAGTTACTAGTTTTCGAGTTGGTAGGGAAGTGCTGATTGTATTGGTCGCTCCACTCATTTGATTATTTTCATCCAATAGGATCAAATATATTAAAAGCCTTCGTTAGATTTGTTTACGTTTACTGTCACACTTCATATCGCCACACCGAGAAAAGAAACTAACAAACTGAAAAGCATGGAGGCGGAAATAATAAATATGAGATATCTTTCAAAAGACGAAGAATGGTTATATCTACTTGACTGATACCAATTTTGAGCCATTTCACTTCAGGTGTCCAATCATAAGTACTGATGAGCCTCAAATTCCAACTACGTGGAAATCAAATGGCAAGACCATTATTAAAACGACTAAATTATCATAAATTAAATACCGTCTTTGCTAATAATGGGAAAAGGCTACTATGAATCACTAATTTGATAGTAAAAAGGTAATAAAGAGCGTACGAACACTAAGGTTGCCAGAAGCCCAGTAAGACTAGATTCCTAGTGCTGGTTCTAGAAACTAATCTATCTGCTTATTCGTGAAGTCTAGCAGGAGATCATAACCTCTATGTAATTTTTCGCTACAGGAAACAGTGGCTATTTCACCATCTGATTTTGAGAAGAATCTAATCAGTGTGGACTCCTCATTTTCACCTGTCAATGGAGATGCAAACAGTATTAATTATAGTGTGACTAATAGTACTAGTGAAACTCTTGGATCATATACAACTTCTGATCGTCATTCTTTCGATAATATCCCTTCCTCCACACCACGTATGCGGGCTGTTTTTGACGTTTATGGTCAAACTAAAGCAATTCAGCTGCGGTCATTACAACAGGTATGTTTTTTACTCTATGGGAACTAACTTTTAAATTCGCTCAATTAGTGGAATAAAATAGTGAAACTTAGCTATACAATCTGTGCTTTTTTAATGGACTGTGTACATTTTACCTCAGTATTATAGTATAAATTATTTCTAAACTTTGATCCCAGGTATACAAGTTGAAAAAAGTTAAGTTTAAAATGTTGTGTTATTTTTAGTCATCAATAATTGTAGGTTACTAAGCCCGTAAATAAGTGTATCGGACAATAAATATCAGGTGTAACAGTTATATTTCCTATATTAGTTGTTTATTGTCCAGTCTGTTAAGTACTTGCAAGAAACTAATTCCAAAATTAATCACTACTGAAAACTTCGTCCTTTGTAAATTCACCTACATTTCAGACTACGATTGTGTAACAGGCTATAAGTCGTTACACTTTCACCTTATATTTTAACATGGGATTTTTAGTACGAATAAAAGTCTCCAGACTCTGCATAGAGTAATATGTAGAGAGCCTCGTATTAATGTTTGGTGCTTTCGAGTGATTTACCATATCTTCGTCATATACTGTCGGACGGGATTGTGTGTCACATGCTAAATTAACAGTATTATATGGGAAACTATCTAGGTTCTCTAATCGTTATTTGATGTATACTTTATGTTATGTTTGACACTAAATCGATTCCGCGGTAACGAACGATAAGCCAATGACACAATGACACGATAAGCTATTCTAATCGGTTGTCCCAGGCCCCGCTAACTAGATGAAGAAGTCCAAGGCAAGTAGGGGAATATATATGTATTCCGTAAGCAGCCGAGTACAAGCAATCGAATAATGGAAAAAGTCAAGCGCATTTATACAACAACAATTTGTCCTTGAGCATCATTGGTAAATAGCACACACAAAGAAACAATGAACCAATAGCGTTTAAGATAGTTTACAGGTGGGAAATATGACGTGAAGGTAAAAAGAGCGCTTTTGGCGCGAAAACAGCTAAATTCAAATTTTCAAAATAAAACTACAAGATTAAGCCATTTACCAAGTAAGTTCTGGGGATTTGACATCCCCAACACTTTATTCCATATAAGAGTCATTCCATTAAGTCTTCAGGTTTTAAAATTTATTTTTGGTCTGTTGCTTGATATAAATGCCTATATTTCAAGTCGCAAAACGTACAGTTAAATACTCACTGTCTAATTAGGTCCTCTTAATAATCATATCTTATACAGTTGTGCTTAAAAAATAACGATGTGGCGTAATGTTGGTGGGTCCCGTTTAAGAGTTTCCTACATTTACAATCTGTTAGTCGCATCACAGAACCTGTCAAGTATATACATCGGCTCAAATCGCCATACTCCATTAGCACAGAGAGGAAATTGTCAGGGCAAATCCCAGTATAGTGGAGGTAGTAAACGTGTTAGTGGTAATAAAAAAGATTAGGCACCAAATATACTCCTCAAAAAATATAAATTAGTGCAACAGAAAAAATATTATGACGAATTTAGAGTCTCATAACTTGGGGGATAAAGAATGGGTGCAATTGCGCCATTGCAAATGATTTGGAACCATATATATATATATATATATATATATATATATATATCTGTAATGAATCCAACGATATCTTAGATTACTGAACAACAAAACTTTCCGTTCCTAATCCGTACTGAATATATATTGGTGGTTTCAATCGATGTATCATCGTTAATATTTACCTCAGAGTATTAGTATAATTAAAAATGTTCAACAAAATATGTCTTTTGCGTAGACATATTACTCCCATCCTTGTACTCTATATGTATTCAGTTTATGTTTTAAATATTGGGAAGCAACTAGGTGTTAAAATATAGTAAAACTGGTCTACGATGTAAGTGCACCTTATATTCAACTATAAGTTTACTGATACTTGTTAAGTTAAACTAATACACTACTCAATGGTATCATAGTGCTAGTTTTTGTGCAAACTTTATGCTTATTTCTAATCATATAATGAATCGGTTTTTAAAAATGGTTGTTCCATTTATATTTTACAGAAACAAACAATCCCATACTCAGTGCATATTAAAGTAGATTATTTCAGACAGGCTTTAAATAATAACGGTTCTAAATTCCACTTTTCTTTCTCTATACGTTGTTAATAAAATTGATCGTTTATATTCTTATCTGTACAATGGATTCCTCATTTTTTGTATGACTATTTTATATTAACTTTGTAGAATTCAATTGCACAATTAAGCCGTTTATGCTCGTGTGCTATTCTACATCATATCTTTTATGTATTTCATTCCAACGGTTTTCTAAACACTGAAACATCTATTTTTGATTCAGATAATTCATCTAATATATGTTCCAAATCTAGTAGAATGCGTAATTCATCACAAATGATTGTTCCAAATATGATGAAAAATAATAGATTTCAAAAATTATTCATTATGTTAGATAAACTTCCACTACCCAGAGTTGAACGACGTCGTTTACAACGTGATGCTTTTGCTGTATTAGCTCGAGGAATTGCTGATTAACACTTGAACTGCGAATTATTCCCAAGAAGCATCTGTTTTATATTGTTTATATTACAAAATGAATATTTTGCAAAAAAAATAAGTCACCAAGTGTCTTTCACCATTATTATTTACTTGTCTTAGATTCGATTTCCAATTTCAGCTATTATTTTGTAGTGAGCGTTTATGTTGATTAGAGAGAGGGGGTATCACTGTTTCAAGGCAAAGGTAAACATTAAAAGAGATTCCATACAATCCATTCAATCTACATTTCATTGTATTTTACTGTGTTGTTTATTGTTTCATTTATTTATTTATTAAAATCAGATTTGAATGGACATTACCTATTCGCTTAATGTTTTATTTTGCTTGTACACATCTTCATTTACTTCGTATTGTACACAGAATAATTCCGATTGGTTAATGGAAACTATCAAAAATCCCGATTTCAATATAAAAACTTTTGAAAAAAAGAGTGTGATTTTGTTATTTAGCATGTTTGTGTATGTTTGTATTACTATATCTATGAAATAGATCAAAGTACATTTACAAATGTTACTCATCAATGATTGATATTGATCTAAACAGGTTGTTTTTCTAAATAAAAAAGTTATACAAATTGTATTATCGAAGTAACACACATATTAGTGAAGTCTAATTTCATTCTTTTTATTTCTATGTTTCACAAATTGACTGATATTAAAATGTCAACAAACTGTTTTGGCATACGCAAAAACAAATAAGAAGATGAGCAAGGACTAAATATTGTGGATAATTTTAGTCTTACATAGTTTTCATAAGCGGTTAACTTGTGTTAAAGTCGTACGGGTATAACAAAGTGAACTTCTGATACTTCATCGTTTTTTAAAAAAAATTATGAAATTGCTTATTCATGATTGATAATGAATATATTTCATGTTCGTTGTCTGATGTGAACCAAGAAACAAGAAGCCTTAACAAACTACGGAAGCTATTTTTGGGGACGTTATTTCATTTGATTCAAAGCTTGTAAAACTGTAACGTTTACTTTTGTCCCTAGTCTATTCTACAGATCATAAGCTTTCGTTTGATGTATGATTCATTACCATAACATTTTCTGTTTTAAAGCTATTGTAATTTAGACGCAACCTTTTGTACTCTATTTTCTACTCTAATCCCCCAGTTTTGGACATAGTTGTATTTTCCTAATTATTGTACGTTGTGGTCAGGTTAGTCATCTATTTATTCATGTATCTTTTTACACTAATGTGAATTCGGAATTCGAGCACTAGATCGGGATTGGAATAAAGCGAGTAGTGTTCCAGTTGTCTTATCTCCTCTCTCTCGCGTACTTGTCAGCCAATCAGGGATATAATAGTTTTCGTCTCTCTACCGCCACTTCAAACTCACGCATACTAGCCTCAAGGTTAAGCCAGTCAGCCTATCGCGTCAAGGTCTTAATCTACATTAGACAAGTTAACCTCGGCACGAAAGTGGGTAGACAGATTCAAGGACGTAACATTGTCATGTATAGTGTGCTTGTTGATTATTTAACCTAAAATAATTGAATTCTCAAGTCTAAATTATATTTCAATAAAACTAAATTATAGACTAAATTAATTACGTGTATTGTTCATAATTTAAATTGTCTTATACCATATGTTTGATCAGTTTCTTAAGTTTTAAAACACAGAATCCTGTAATATAGTTTCAATGTTGTATAACTTATTCATATGATATACCGAATGATATTGATTTAAAGAGATAATATATACTATTCGGTTATTAATGCAGAAAAAATACGTTTATTACGACTATAAATCATTCACGTGTGTTAATTGTACAAAGTGATTCATTTTATCCAATGGACTTACTAATATACGTTTGTTAAATGATTGTGGTAGAACGCATTTTATTACAGATTCTATTAACTTTAGTATTAGCTAGTTATAAATAAAATCTTCATCCTTAATTATTACTCGTATATGTATATACATTACTGATGGATTACTTCTAAAAAGCATTCATTACTGGAAGTTGTTTGATACTAGTCCACTTAGAGTAGAATAACCTTCGATAAAAGTCTAATTAGAGGAATATCATTGAGGTAAAGTAGTAGCTTAATTGTTAAATCCTTTTCAATTTTTGGTTTGCAATTTCGAGTCCTCAACCAACTTGGGTTTGAGCAACTTGTTAATATATCTAGCTTATACTAAGAGTTTACCTTGAAGCTGAATACATAAACATGAACTTGATAAGTGATTTACATTAGTAATTTTTAATTATTGCACTGAATGGATCCCATGCGAATATTTTTAAACTTCCCTAAAAATGGTTGGTCATTTTAAGGAATCATTTTATGTCTAGTTTGGAAAAAATGTGTAAAGTTAAAGAGACATGGTGCTTAAATGGTTTTGTTAATATAAAAACAGCTTCTGGTTGTTACGATCCAGTTCTTTGATAGTTGTAGTTTTAGCCCCTCTGATCATTTCAAAAAAATTCAATAGTTCTCTACAGTAAACTGTTAAAATGTTACTTTCAGTGTGAATCATCAAGAAATATATATTAGATCATTTTCTCTTCTCTACACTTTAACTTCATTATTTTATTGACATTCAATTTAGTGAATGAATAATTCGTAATCAGTTCTAGTAACGGACTCATCTAGTGTAGACGTATGAACGTGTAGTACTAAGGAGTTGCACATTAATTTGAAGTGAATATCATGTTATTCTTGGTTTTTAATGTCTCTCTAGTTGATATACATTCATCGATTAGACTATCTGTTTATTATTTTTTTTTGATTAAGACTTTCGTTTAATTACATTGAATTATTTGTTTATTTATTTTGTTCTAGTTATCAGTCCCTAATGCCATCAAATAATAAAAGTGCACTCCGTCAAACCAATAGAAATTTACGAGCAGAAATTGATGTACTTAAAGCACAAATTGTACAAATGAAAAATGACTTATCACAATCTCATACTATTCGTCCTAAAATTGATCAAATGAGTAATGAAGTTGTCGACTCTAATCCATATAGTCGTCTTATGGCACTTCAACGTATGGGAGTTGTTACAGATTATGCTCTGTATGTGGTCTGTATAATTTGTTGACGGAAATTCTTTTCTCTGTTGAAGGGTATTATTATTATCATTATTACGAAGAGTAATCCTTTACTTTAACACAAAATTTCGATAATATGCGTAAATAGACTTCTGTTAGTAGTTTGTTGTAATGTCTGAAACGAAAGTGAAATTTTCATGATTAAGTTGCTCAGCTCATTAAACTCAACTCTACCAAAATTATTTAAACATTTTGGCGGAAACATAGCAATCAATTAAAAATAAATTCTTTTTCATTTAACAAACAGATGAGTACTACTGTTTGCAACTACAGATACAAGTTATTAGTCACACTTGGGTCTCAACATTAATACAACAATAACAAAGGCTCTAGTAACAGTAATATCGTATTCAAACAACTAAATAGGTAATCAATTATATGTACACAAAATTTACCTGCTTATAAGAGTCCATTCATCACTTGAATTGGTACAAAAATAGACAATATAATTAGAGTGATTCATTTTATAGTCAAACATTTATTTAGTATCTTATGAATTCTTGACATGTTTCTGATAAATATTGATATTAGTATTTGTATTGAGAAATAAATCACAGTGAAATATTTCTATCCTTTCATCAGTTTCAATCACTAATCTGTGGTATTTGAAACATACTACAAGTAATTTTCTCTTTGTTTTCAAATGATAACACGTTTTAGCAAATTAAAACAATGTTACAAATTTATTCGTAAACGCTAGAATAATATAATTAGTTGATTAGGAAAACTCACCAGTTCCAGTAATCTTTTTTTTTAAACAACGTACAACAGACAGAATGCAAATTGTTCAAGAAACTTCTGAAACTTATATCTGACATGAAAAATGATAACTTAATTTATCTGTACCATAGCTTTTAAATTTAAGACAATCTCTAAGAAAATTTTTTAGGTTTCCGTCTTATATCTTTTGCTTCAATGTGATGTTTTTTATGTCTTTATATCATTCATTTCTACTGAGCTATAGAAATTTCTGTATACCATGGTTAATAGTCGCTAATGAAATGGAAATTAAGCTATAAAGTTACAGGATTTATACTGTTTTTTCTGGTGATAACTGCAATAAAGCAATTGTAACTTTCCCCTATTGTAAGTTTTCATTAATTATTCACTTTGCCAAAAATAATTCCTATCTCGCTATTATTTCAACATACTAGGCCAAACAAAAATTTATATAGTTTAAACTACTAACTGATCTTAACCAGACCACTATTAAAACCAGGAACAATTGTTTCGCTCTAATGTTGAGCTTCTCAGCAGTGCACATCCATGACTCCGCATGTGAAAATCAAACCCGAAACCTCCAGTCCCGCGCTTGAACCCTCGACCTCTAGACCAGACATGGCATCCAACGGTGTTAATGCCTAACGTTAATCAACTGAAGGTCCTGGGTTCTATTTCCGGATGCGGTGTCGTAAATTCGCACTTTGGATGAGTCCCATACTAGGACGAAATGACCGTTTAGCGCTTCCAGGTTTTCAGTGGTGGCCTAGCTAAGTTCGCGATTTAAACTATCAAAGTACTACTACCTCTGCAAATTTCTTTATACTATCAAAGTAAAAATTATTAAGCCATTTACTTGATCAATTAGGACATTTTGGTTTTTACAAATGATAGTAATTTAAGTTTAAAAATCTGTCATAAGTAATTAATTTAACTTCAACTATTTTTTTATTCAATTTCTCAAACGATCGAATGTTGTCAGCACATAATCTGTATTATTCGTAAACTAGAATAAAATCAAAAGTCACCTAGTTATTTATCATAGTTTTTTTTTCAAATTATAATCCATTTAAGGAATATCTTAATTTTATTATTAAAAAAAACTTCTAGTTGTTACTCATTAAATAAATCTATTTATTTAATAAAATCAATCATCTATTATTTTTCACGTGTTGCTGTTTTCTTTTAACGGATGATTGTTTCAAAGTCAAACATGGTAAAATCGAAAAAAAGATTATTTTGGAAAATAAAATGATTATTTGATACAAATTGATCGCTTGATAAGTTTGAACAGAGAAAGAAAAATAAGGTTTGCAAAACAAGATTAGTTCATCCTATTTTATAGGTTCTCTCCATTTGTAAATAGTTTAAAATTACAAGAAATACTATAACTATAGATATTGCGTAATCCCTTTTTATTTTCATTATAATTATTAGTAAACATAGTATCATACCCCTCAATCTTCATTATTATTCTCCAACATACAAACATGCGTCAATCTTGACCATATTTAGTCAGTTTGTATCCTGTTCTTTTTATGACGATTCTCAATTCCATTTTAAACATCCATCTCAACCTCACTAACCAAATTGTATTAAACCCTTGTTTATAATTATATTATTCTGTGTGATTTTGGGCTATTTAGACTTTATAAGAAATTCGGTAACAATTCATTCATTTTGTCGTGTTCACTGATGTACACAAATGATTGGCATTAAACAGCCTAATATTTTTCACTGTTAAATAATTAACTTCATCTGTGAGATGCGTAAATATCCAGAAGTTTGTGTATAAAATGTTATGGATCGCTGCATCGTTCCATAAGTATATATTTGTTTAAATGGTGCTTTGGAATGATCTAATTCACTTTTATTCAATTCTATGTTCTAATTATTCAGAATTCGAGAAAAGACTGTTGTTATAGTTGGTATTGGAGGTGTTGGCTCAGTGACTGCTGAAATGCTTGTTCGATGTGGAATTGGTCGTCTGATTTTATTTGATTATGATAAAGTGGAGTTGGCCAATATGAATCGATTATTTTTTCAGGTTAATAAATTATTTTAGTTTACTAACACTAATAGGATTTTTATATATTTCTAAGTTTTGGAAAGAAGTTTTTCACTGTCGTGTTATTTGAACACATTTATATGTGAACAATGTCTTATTGTTGTTTACCCTTCTACTATGATTAGTATGGTGATTCTTATCGCCATTAGCTTCCTCTTCAGCTCCTCTTTTCTATGTTAATATGAAGTTTATCTACAATATGTGCCTAGTCTCTTCATCAAGGCACAAAATTATTACCTTCTAAAACTCAACTTATGTTTTATTATGCTGATATTGCTGAATCATTATTGTATATTATCCAACTTCAGGAAGCTTGTAAATTATGTATTTATTCTTCATTGTGACCTCTTCACTTGTCTTATCGTATTAATGTACGTAGGGTAACGAATTTTATCGAATTATTTTTTTTCCTTAAGTCAGTTAATAGACCAGTTAATTGTACGAAACAAAAGTAATATATTGTTGAAGATAATAATCGAACACTTTATGCATTTTTGATTCTACTCGTCATGATGGACATGTGCGTCAACTCGAATACTTGAACTCCTCGCATATGCAAACAAATATCCGTTAATATTGATGGAGGAGAGTCTTTAGATATTGGAGTAAGAAATAACTTGTTTGGTGAGGTTCCTAAATTATTAAACTACAAATTAATCATCTATTGTATTATTTAATACTGGTAAATTTGGCATAAAGCTATATGGAGTGTTAGTTTTAGAAATGTGAGTAAATGTATACATTTTTTATATTTCAGCTAGGTATGTTGTGTAATGTGTAAACCAATTGTAAAATTCAGTTTGTACTCACACTTCATAGTTGAACTCAGCTTAAAGCACACTATTGATTGTAAATTAAGTTTTTCTTTTCAACATATCGTCATCAGTCACTTACCATGCAAAAATAGTAGTGAAATTATCTTTGACTAGACGGAAAACATATTCTCAAGTCAATTGTTTTACTTAGATTTTGACTCGCATTAAATTCATTTACGTACACTCTATATCTTAACTATTTTCACCTCCTATTGTTTGTTTTCATCTCTTTGTAGCCTCATCAATCTGGTTTGAGTAAAGTTGCAGCTGCAGCGTCTACTCTAAGTTTTATCAATCCAGATGTACAAATTGAAGCACATAACTATAATATAACTTTAGTAGAGAATTTTGATCATTTTCTTAATCGTTTAAAGCATGGTGGTTTGAAAGATGAAAATCCTGTTGATCTTGTATTAAGTTGTGTTGACAATTTTGAAGCTCGTATGACAATCAATAAAGCGTGTAATCTTCTTGGTCAAGTTTGTATCGTTCTTTTTTTTCTATTATTTTATTATATTTTACAAGGAAACATAAATATTTTTATAATTCATATCTACACATTTTATGATATGTTACTCCATAGATTTTTAAATTGATTCACAGTTTTGTTCTACTTTTTCAAATGTTTCGCTCTAAAGATATTGGAATACAATGGATTATTGATCAGTTTAACTGTTAAAACCCTCACTATAGATAAAATTAGAAAAATAAATGATTAAATGAAAATCAATTATGTCGATAGACATGCGTAGTATGTAACAACAGTCAGAAGTGGAATACCTGGAAGCAGAAGGTGGAGATCTAATTGAAGAGGACAAGAATGTAATAAGAGAGTAATTATAACGACAATAGGAATGAGCGATGAAGTTTGTAAGAGACAACTGATGAAAGATGTGCAAATTATGTATTTAATGTATGGTTTTCACATTTTACGAAGACACTGTAATTTTGTATTAAACAATAATTCGGTTATCCTCACCAAGTCTTCGTTCACTTCATTTACAATTATTCTTTAATGTTTTAAATATATTCCCTTCTATATAGCTTTATGAATATATTAATATTTCATATGGTTGAGATCATGAGTCAATTGAAGCTAGACCACCATGGAAAACCTAGAAGCACTGGACGGCTGAAGTTAGACATTCACACCGTTGGATGCCGGCCCAGTGGTTTATCGGTTAAGTGCTCGCTCGCGAGACTGATAAGTCCTGGGTTCGAATCTCGCGAGGCGGGATCATGGATGCGCACTGCTGAGGAGTCCCATAATAGGACGAAACGGCCGTCCAGTGCTTCCAGGTTTTCGATGGTGGTCTAGCTTCAATTGACTCATGATCTCAACCATATAAAATTACTCAAATCTCCACAAAACCTTCTGATATTAATATTTGTCATTATGATATTTTTCATAATACTATGTATAGCATCTAATTAATTTAAATACTTTTAAAGGTTAATCCTTCTGAATTACAATTAAAATCTACGTGTATATTTTCTCATAATTTATTGATTTGTATGTAGATTTAAATATTTTATACGACTAGCCTAATCAAGACACACATGCTTGTATTCTGTATTCAAATTACTTCACTTTTAATCAACATCATGAAAGATAGTCAATCAAAAGCCGGAAGGATTAAAATTCAGTTTAGAAAAAATATTTTAACGATAGAACATATGCTTATGTTATTAAAATGACTTTTGAAATTTCCCATTCTATCACTAATTACTGACTTCGGATGTTGTAAAGATAGTAACCAGCCAGCATATATTCATTTTTGGTTCAGACAAGTAGTTGACAGTAGTGCATTTATGTCATTTTATGTGGGTTTATTAAAGTTTTCTGCATTAAGGTAAATGGCTATGGACCTACTACATATCTCTTCCAACCCTGGTACGTCTGAGGGTAGGGAGAGTCTGCTATAACCCGTGAAATGATCTTATATGGTCACGTGTTTTAGTGACTGTCTTTTCGTGAAGAGAGCGTTGTTCAAGAAATTGCGGGGATGAAAAGCAAACGCTCTTGTACGTCCGAAAGTCGGGAGAGTTCGTTCTCCCTCTCGAAATGCTCTCACATGGCCATGTGCATACAACCACTGCCTGGGAAGTCCTAATCACTGCCTTCTCGTGGCGGGGGTGTTGTTTACGAAATTGGGAGGATGGAAAGCGAATATTTAACGCTTTAACCGGGTTGGTGGATATTGAGGATCCACCTAGGTAGGTTGAAAAACCCTGATTCCGAACCAATGTTATACATAGGCTCCAGGATCCTGAATGAACAAAAGGCGTGTGGATTTATTTTTGGTCATCAGCTACCATGGGACCGTATCTTCTAACATTGCTCCACTGCATTAAGAATTAATCCTCTAGGTCAAAGGCTAAGGGATAGGCCTTTCTAAGAAAAACATCGGTTCGGGGACCCGGAAAGTACCACAGCCCACACAAAAATTTAATGATTTGTTGTGTGATGCATATATATTTTGGCGCCCCTTCGTATCAGTGTTTGTGCTTAAATAAATAAATATATGCATTCCACTCATTTGAATTCGATGTGTGATTTACATTGATTATTTCGTATTTTCATAATTTTATTTAATTTAGGTTTGGTATGAATCTGGTGTCAGTGAAGACGCTGTTAGTTGCCATATTCAACTTATGTATCCTGGTCGAACACCATGTTTTGAATGCCTGCCACCATTAATTGTGGCCAGCGGTTTGGATGAAAAAACTCTTAAACGAGAAGGAGTATGTGCAGCATCACTTCCTACTACAATGGCGCTTGTTTCTTCGTTATTAGTTCAGAATACTTTGAAATATCTGCTGAAATTCGGTGAAGTATGTTTTTTCCTGTTGTTCGAATTTTTATTTTCTACATTTAGGCTTACTATTCTCTTATTTATATTCAGTTTATCCATTTCGTTAATTAAACATCAACGGCAACTGAAGTTTCAATAAAATTTTCTCATATCATAACTAATGACTCCATGATAGCATTGAAAATACGGTATTACTATAGATTTTGTCCCCATTATAAAGGTTTTGTGATCAAATGTCAAAGATAAATAATAATAATTTCGAAGTAATTGGGTAATGATAATGTAGTGAACAGAATACGGGTGGGGACAATCAAATGTATTTAAGCACAAATTACAAACTATCTCACTAAAATCTGATAACCATACAATAAACTTTTAATTTGCAAACTATCAATCAGTTGTCTCAATCTTAACTGTTGCTTCTGAAAATATCAGTCCGTCTTCTCTGATTTCGTTGTTTATGCATTTTCATACCGATTTCGCTTCATTCCTGTTGTTTCCTTATCGATCTGTCAAAATACATTCTGACCATTATCAATATACTGCTTATGTGGATATAAGTAGCCCACACAACACTAATTGCATGTTTAGTTACTACCATGTTTGTGATTATTTTGCCAGCAATAAAAGGCATGATTGATATGATCATAAAAAATGTTGTCAACTAAAAAGACTTTCTATAAAAAAAATCCATTGTCCTAGCTTGACAGTGCTAAATATTCGGTGGAACGAAAACATTTTAGGTTTCAGAATTTCTTAACGGTTAGAAGAATTTACTCCTAATGAATAAACCTCTCATATCTATATTTACTTGCTATTGAGGGACAATTCAAACAAGTTGGTTGATCCTTTTTAGTTTATCAGCTCTTTCGAATATTTCTAAAAGTCGAAATTTACTTACAACTTTGTCGTATAAACACCTGTGTTTTTGTGTCTGTCTCTTGTTTCATCTATTACCCTGAAGTTGGTACTCCGCCAAAGTTGTTTTTATTTTCAGCTCCTTCTAACCAACTTAAAGTGCCATTAATCAAAGTATAATAGACAGTGCAGAACATAACACAGTTTGAGATAATCCACTAGATACTAAAAATAGACACCTTATGTATGTAAATAACTAAGAAATGAAACAGTTATTTAAGGATTGATGGATTAAAGATCCGGACGTATATAAATATCCTTATCACTGCTACAGTGAGAATATATGCGCTTTCAAGTATCAATAACGGTTTGGATACATACTTTGCTCAACCTTAAGTGTGTACAAATGTTTTATTTTCACATTTGTTTTTTGATCTTTTTAGCTCAGTGTTATGTAGGATTTTAAAAAATTTTGTTCAAACAACCTACTTTTTACATGTTTACCAAATACTGTATAGTTAAGCTAGACATATGTTTGTTTTTTTCCATCCCATTCTCATACAAGTCAATTATAATTTTTGTTTACATTTCACCAACGACCATATTGGATTAGTAAAGTTTTCAGCTACAAAGAAATAATTATTCTGAATTTTTTTCGAACATTTTTTTATCTTGGAATTTTTATGTGAACTTGTTTTATCTTGACATAATTAACATAATTAATAATTAGATTATTTTTAGTTCATATAATTATATAGTTAATATGGTTTATATACAGTTGAAATCATGAGTCAGTTGAAGCTAGACCACCATGGAAAACCTGGAATCACTGGATGCGCACTGCTGAGGAGTCCTACAATAGGACGACACAGCCGTCCAGGGCTTCTAAGTTTTCCATGGTGGTCTAGCTTCAATTGACTCATGATTTTAACTATATTTAAAAAATTACTAATAATCTCCACAAAAAAACCCTTAATATAGTTTAATTGAAAAGTTGTTCAGTTATAAGTGTATGAAATATTCCTTTGATGGTCTTTTTTTCGTTCATCTAATTAATAGATTATGTTGATCTTTTACTAATTACTTTTAATCTACTATTTATTCTTTGGTTGATCACATTTAATACACATGTGAACTATAAGTTGAACTCATTGAATTTCTTCAACTGGACTGAATTTCTGAATAATTAAATGTTAATTTTCTTATTTATTTATTTATTAAATTTGATGATGATTATTAAACGAATCGCATTGAATTAGGTTTGTATGTTCTATATCCTTATACAAAATTTAATTAGATCTTACTTTATGTATTGTGATGATATCATATGAGTTGTTTCCTATTAACAGTGAATTATTAATAAATTTGAAGGATTATTTATGATATTATAGTACAGTGCATATTCACACAAAGTTATGAAGTGAACACTGATGTAAAGTTTTATATTCAATAATTTTAGGAATACTATCCTTTTTACCTGTTCAGATCTTCAAATAATCTGTGATGATTAGATTTGTTGAAGCTTTTTTCTATATTTCGTTTTTGTATTTCTTTGATGACATTCAGTCAGTCAGTCAGTCAGTCAGTCACAACGTAGAACTTCGTACGTACGTACATCAGTTCGAGTTGCCATACCACATCAGCACAGAGGTTCAGTTGTCGATTCAAATCCCATAGTGGTAGAGGTAGTAAAAGTATAAGCATTATGTGAAAGATTAGGGTTTGAAGATGTTATTGAAGGAGTATAATACAGTGAAATAAATTTGGAAAGAGAAAAAGGATAGGGACATGAGGAATTCAGAGGATTAGAATTTTGGAGAACACAAAGAGTGGATACACCCTTGCCATTGCAAACGATTTTGAGCCATGCCATTTAAGGTCTTTAACCATCGATTGCTATTATCTCGCGGATCCCAACCAGGTAGTCCACTTGTCAGTGACTTCATGGATTTGTGCCAAGTTCTGGTCTGACCGCCCCTAGTTTTCTTTCAACCTACTCCTACACCATAAAACATTGCATGTCGGGGTAGTCGTTGGTTGGGCATACGTAACACATGTCCAAGCCATCTCAACTGATGAAGTTTCAGTACTTCATCAATCGATCTGCCATCCTTACCTAGTACCTGTTTACGAACGACTGCATTACTTACCCGGTGGTCCCATAATATACGAGCAATGCTTCGAAGACACCTATGATCAAATACTAGTAGCCTACGAATATCCTCTACTCTTATCGGCCATTTTTCACTGCTATAAAGTAGGATGGAACGAACTGCTGCTCAGTAAACCCGTCCTTTGGTTTCGTGTACATTAGTGTAAGAGGTGTGGAAGAAAATAGCAGAGCTCCAACAAACTGAATAGAATTAGTACAAAAAACCGTTTTATTTTTAAGTTTTTTTTATTCCTTTTTAACGATGAGTATATCTATCCAAAACCATACACTGTCATTGATTGATATTTGTGAAAATACTATTGTTTTTTTTGTATAACTCAATTGATATTTTCTGGGGAACTGAATGCTACAGTAGTATGTTACATCTTTGTTATTTTTACAAGTATCATTTATTTGCTTGTTAGAATAAGAGTTTTGTTTCTTGTTCATTTGATCACACTTCCAAATGGTAAGTGTTTTTTTTTAAAGTAGTCTAAACTTATTAGTTTATTAAAAGTAAGTGAAATAAAATTGATTTTTAACTTCTCATAATTTTTTTTAGATGGAAACATCAGAAAGAATATCCTGCTGACTGTAAACATTACTTTTCTTTATTTTCGCCTATTTTTTTTTACAAAAGGTTTCCAGTTATTTAGGTTATGGAGCGGCTAAAGATTCATTTTATCGTGTTGAATTGAAAGCAAACCCAGATTGTGCTGATTCATGGTGTAACCAGCGTCAAACTGAATGGCGTAATCACTTACAAAAATTAAATCTTCCACTTGATTCCCCTTGGGATATTGAAGAACGTCTAAAAGCTAATCAAATTAAACATGAAAAACTTAAAGAAGCATTATCCAAGTCAAAACATGAAGAAAATGATTTTGGCATTGAATTAGAATCAGAATCATTGAGTTTTACAGAATCTACTTGTAATATAAAACATGATTTATCCAATTCAAATTCTGAAGGAGTTGGTGTAAAAACATTATATACAGTGAATAACAAAAAAATTGAATCAAACTCTCAAGAGACATCTGATTGTTTTATTTCACAGACAAATGATAGTCTCGAATCACTCATGGCTAAAATGAAAAATTTGTAATCAACCTTATGGTTATTAGGAAAGGATACTTTATTTTCCATGCACAGTTTTCCACTAGTGTTCTTTTTGTTGTTATGTTTTTCTTTTAATTTGTATGATGTACATGTGATATACTTCCGTTATTCCATTTGTTTTCTTTTTATTCCCGAACTATGTTAATAATTTATTTTGTTTACATTGATGGTTATTGTAGGAAATTTATTTTAAGTTACTGTATTATTTCTTAGAGCAGTGGTTTCATGTTTTACAACTCTGAACATTTTAGCATTGAGTTGTAGGATGCAACCCTGGCTCCATTTACTTTTGCCGTATTATTTTGAAATTGTAACACATAGCTACTTAAATAAACATGTCTTTGGTGAATGATTTATAATCAAGAAATTATCTTGTAATGCATAGCCTTTCAAGGTTATAAACTCGTTTGTGTACGGGAATAGATTCGTGTTAAGCTTTTATGTGGACTGTTAGTCTAGATACCATGGAAATCAGGTTTCATTTTTTTAGAATTCACCACCGAACACCATTAGGCTGAGAAATTTCGATGTTGTACTCCATATTTGATGGGAATTTGTCTGCACTAAAAATCCAATAATTGATATCAGTATCATCTGGTGATAAATCTCATGCTTATTCGTAATTTTAACTGTGCTTCCAAATGGGCTGAGTACTTTAGTATATTTTGTTTAGCTACTTATGTCTGTTATTAGTAGGTAGTGAATAAACGGTTTTTCCACTTTCAGAGTGTTTAGAAATAATACTTTGTGTGAAGAATTTCATCTGAAGTATTATGTCTTCTGATTTTACAATGTACTCTAGCGTACCACTTGACAAAATATAGTTTATGATACAACATCCGAACTTCTGAAAGCTTGTCTAAGCATACAGTGTCTACATAGGCGGATACTTACCACAGTATTCTGTAAAAAGCAATTCCGATTTGATTAAGAATTTAAGTGTAAGAGTTTTTGTTACATGAATACCCTGAACGATGATAGGTAGTAGTTTTATTAGCGACTGTACTATTATCTAACGGGATCGTATCCAAGACTTATCCTAATTTCCATGTAATTCTATTCTGGGACATCTTACATCATCCCACCTAAATTCTCGAAAATTAGGCAGCAATGTAAACGTAGTTTATGTAGGTGGTGGTTCTAATGTGACTAAATAATGGTGTTAGATGTGAAAATCATCGTTTAGTGAGAGTCGGTCTTCTTGATTTAAAACAAATCACCTTTGGTGAACTACATATAAGTGAGTATTAATTTCTGGAAATGTGTATATTGTGGAGAGATAATTAGGTGTTTTAAAATTAATGGGAAGTTGGTTTCGTGTATATTTTTGTAATTTCCTACATGACTTAATGAATTTTAGTTCCCTCGATGTGTTGAAATAAATGAAATAATATAACCCATTTAACGAAAGTCAGCATAAACAGAATTTGAGGCGAGTTTCGGATGATGGAAAGAACTTACAATATGTATTGCGTAAATTTTTGAGCAAGTAATCACTAGTAGTAGATGATGCTGGGAAAAGAGAAAAAGTGATGTGAAGTTCGGACAGTTATTCTTTAGTGAATTATTTGGTATATATTCTGCGTATGCTTATCGTACGTATATTTGGTGGAGTTTTCTTATGGTCCTCACTAATAAGTTCTCATTGACCCATTATTTATTGTCGTATCGTTTACCGATCAAAAATGTAGTTAATCAAGAATAACCCACTTAGTTTTGTACCAAAATTATCCTAGTTATATACCTGCTGAATTTTATAAATTATGTTAAATTATAGTTCAGCATTTTACTCGTATAACCAAGTGAGTCATGAAGCGTAATGACAAAATATACTTATGACCACTTATGTGGCCTTCTATTCCTCAAGTTGGGGGTTTCCATAAGTAATAGTTTACGTGGCCTATCGATCTTGTTAAAAAAAATATAGTAATGAAGATTTTGAATGTATTCTCATTGGTTTGAACAATTTAATGAGACACTAGTTTTCTGAAATTCCTACAGCGAAAATTTTATGACAGCTTTCTATTAGTAAGTAGTGATAATTTTAATGAAATTCGTCCACGTAATTCTCTGTAAGTTTGTTCTCTATTCCACGATTTTAATGTTGATTTGATTTTCATCGTTATTAAAGTTAATAATATCTTTTTGGGGATTAATTTCCATCAAATAGTATCGGTTAGTCCGAACTAGGTAGGGATTAAGAACTTTCGGATATGACCGGTTTCAGAATGTTTAGTATTTATTCTGTAACTTGAATCTCAATATCACTGTAAAATTGAGAAGTAATGTCATATGAGTGACATTATAGTCATCATAATTCCTGAAGATTCTAAGATTAATTTCATGTATGATCATGAACATGTGGTTTTAAAATGAAGGCGCACAACTACTCAATGTTATCTATCTTCTAATGCCCATTCAGTTGACTTCAACTCATTATGAAAATGTAAACTAATATTCACTTAACTCAGATTGAAAAATTTCAAGAATAAATAAAAAATATGAAGGAAAGTAGGTTTAGACTAGTATGATTAGTTAATCATAATAAAAACAAACTACATCAAAAATTAGGAAATAAATATGTTGAAATAGTTCCCAAACAGCGCCTCGAAGTCTCCAGAGGCTCCAAAATAGCCGAAAGGATTTCATCCACTCAGAACCTGATAGAACCTTCATGAATATCAATGTGGGATACTATTATTAGGCAATTGAATAACTTTTTACTTGAGGATTAGTTGGATTATAATGATGTTATAACCTATAATAAAAACTATAAATACCCTTATTTTCTGAACATTTTTGACTCTTATCTAATAACAGCTTCCGTTGCTTCTTTCATCTTTTGATTTGCGACTGGTCTTCTACATGTTCAAATGTCAATCGTTCTATACCTTATTTACTGCAATCAAGTAGAGGATATAACAAAACAAGACAGTAGAACTGTCTTGACATTTGTATTGAAAATTGTGACTTTGGTGTTGGTTGACAATTGTTTTGAGTTGCAGATTTTCTTCAGTTGTAAATATGCTACTCTTGCTTTGCTGATCCGTGTCTTCACATCGATAATTAAATGTAACAAAGAATATTTATGAATTTTATAAATGATAAAACAATAATTTATTTAATGTTTGCAGATACTGTCAAGTTGATTGTGTTTTTGTTATAACGTGTGAGTGCATATGTTCGTGCCCTGTTTGATATATGAACGTGATAAGATCGCCTATCAGAGAGCAGTGATTTTATCGATCGGATCTAATGATACACAATGTATGAGCAGTCTTGAGTACTTTTCAGTCCTGCTATCTGCCTAGCCCAGACGGTTAAGTCCAGAACACTAACAACAGCCTCTGCAGTATGAATCATTATTGTCAAACATACTGGGTTTATATGCCAAGCAAACTGACCACATCGTACCATAAAATAGAAAATAACATTTGTACAAGATTCAGCCAAATGTGGCTGTGAATAGGGTGAACAGTAATCAATAGACTTGGGATAACTCAAGAATGGTAAATCGTATAATATTAGTTCATGGGTCAAAATAAAGCTTATAATAAAAGGAACATGAATATGAACAGTTAAGTCATTTGGCAATTATACAACAGGAAATATACATATCACATTGGTCCATAAATAGTCCTCAAAGTTACCATTCATAATTCTCCACAGGATACAACAGTTTTAACGTACGGTACATAATTGTGAATCAAGTTTCTGAATCGTTTTTATTAAAAATATAACAAATGAATGTATGTTAATAATGGTCTTAGTTATATTCAAACATACAAATAACTTCTTTAATACTGTAGTGAATGAGAACACAAATGGACACAGTTAAATGTATTTGAATAGAAAAAATTATTGTATCCCTTAGCAAAATTTGTGAAAACCATACAGTAAATAATTCATTTGCATAATGTCAAATAATCGTCCCAGACTTCATTGTTCTTTCGTTTCCATATCAATCATTCTTTGTTTTCGTTCTCTTTTCTTTGATCTTCTGCCTCCAGACATCTCACTTTTGAATGATGATACATACTACTTATAACCTTCGATATCAGTAGCATACACCACAGTACTACTGTAAATGGTAATCCTATTTAAAAACAATCTTATTTTGCTGCCACTTATTATACTTGGTAGTATATCAATGAGCGATTTCCAATTCAATCTGACAATTGTGTTCCTATTAACAGAATTATGAATTCTAACTTATACCTATTCATCTTGACGTTCATAAATAATTATTATAGGAATTGTAACATAGTCTATGAATTAAAACAATTAAAGAGTTGTATAAGAACTTTCGTCTAAATTATAGCTAATAGTTTCACAGTATTTGATAATTCCTTTAAAAAAGCTTGAACCAGATTGCCAAACGAAACGTTGGATTTACTTCAAATTCATTCGCTGAGATTTTACTAATATATATTATTCCTATTTAATGAATTAAAGAGTTGTATTTGTAAATGTATATCTTTTATTGTTTATCATTTTACTCATTTCAGATCATTTTAACTTTAAAATTATAACAGAAATAATGCATATGAATTTGATGTTCATCTTGATATGCTAATGATGTATGGCAACATGGACCGATGAATGTATGTACCCGGGGTTATGTTGTAGCTGACTGACCGTCTAACTGAGAAATAATATTTTAAACAATTTCTCTTCAATCAAATATTATATTTTATCAATTATATATTGAATAAAAATGGCAGATGTCTTGAATTCTTCTATTCTATTCTTTTTTTTTAAAGAAACGATAATTGTTTATTTAATTACTTGTTAAATCAAGCATCTGTTAATAATCATTAATAGCTATTAAGAAAAGCATTATTACATTTAATCTATCATATATATATATATATATATATATATACTAGTGTGGTTAAATGATGTGTATTTTAGGTTACTCCCTATATTCATTTGATGATAGGATGTTTATATGTATATAATCATATTTGTCGCCATGATAAATGA